CAGAGAGTGTCCACTTCCAGCCATTAATTCCTAATGGGACATGTACCATCTGAGGTTAATGATTCCCCTGCTGTCACTAATTCTATTCATATTTTTGGGAGGCCCCAGCAGAATGTGTATAACCATGTCACACCACTTGGGTGTATTCCCTATATCCGTCTTGCTGTGATTGGATGGGAAGGTGTGGCACCCAGTCGTGACCTGGTTTCCATGGAAACGGGCAGGGAGGCGTCTGTGCTTGCTAACCAGCCCGGCCTCCTTGCAGGTGAGCATCTGCCTGGAGTGCAACAGCAGCAAGCTGCGGGGTCTGAAGAGGAAGTGGATCCGCTGCTCCGCCCAGGCCACCGTGCTGCACCTCAAGAAGTTCATCGCCAAGAAGCTCAACCTGACCTCCTTTAATGAGGTACCGCCTCCCTGCGTTCGCTGGCCGACGCTTTCGCTATTCTCCAGTTAGAGCTCAGCTACTGAGACCCCCTGGACTCCCTTTCCAATTGGTCCTAGTCTCCTGTCAGTCGCAGGTGTAGATGAGCTTCCCCCCAATCCCATCGCGATCCTCCTCTTTTAGGCTGGCAGCTACGTTTCATCGACTTATCCTCCCCAATACGATTTCTGGGAAAATGAGCGGCTGCCTGCTTCCCGTCTGTGTTTTCTCGCGCAGCCTGTCAAAGCGGCGGCATAGAAAATCACCGCGCGTCTGCAGGCCGCGGCGAATCATCACCATTTTGTTGTTTTCTTGTGCCGCCTACTAAAAACAGCGTGGGCGTCTCCCTCAGGACCGCTCGGCGGCTGGCCTCCGGCTCGCAGCACACCGCTCATTAGTCTGGCGCGTTACAAGTGAGCTGATTTAGGCACAATACAAAAGCGGGAGATGATCCAGCCATTATTCATTTGCTGCCTTTTGTAAGAGCCCTTAGTGAAACTCCTTCATCCAACTTGATTGATCGAAAATCGAAACCCTCATTTACGACCTGATTGGTCAAAACTGAACCCCTCATTTATGACTTGATTAGTCAAAAATAAATCTCTCATGGCTGCTCTTTTTGTACATTTGACTGTGCTGCCTGTCTAAATTTTCACTGTTAACAGGGCTTTCTTCTGCTCCAGTTTACATGAGCCTTTGTCCCCTGACATACGTGAAACAAGCTCGCTCGTCTGTCTCGTTAAAGTGCCACACTATCACAAAAAACATTCTTTGAGGACTGAAAGTATTGATTGCACATTGGTGATGAAACGTGATGTAGGAGTTATAAGGAGGGCTTATTGTCGTCCAGCCGAAGGGCCCAAACCTGGTGGTGTCTCAGATTTTAAAGGGAAGTTTTGATAGATAGACCTCAGACCGCAACACTACTGTGATTGGACCACAACGTGACCTCAGGAAGTACAAAATAGAACCAAATTAACCCTCGTGGGCAGAGAATATGCCAGTGTGTTAGCCTTCAGTCTTAATTTCACGGCATTGTAAAGATTTTGCCAATTTTTGAAGCTGTAGCATGTTTGCTAATTTTGTTTGTCTCAATCAGCTTGACATTTTATGCAACGAGGAGATCTTGGGCAAGGACCACACGTTGAAATTCGTAGTCGTGACAAGATGGAGATTTAAGGTAATGAATGCATGGTGGCAACACTCGATTGACAGAAAGGGATTTAAACGGCATGCATTGTGTGTGTGTGTGTGTGTGTGTGTGTGTGTGTGTGTGTGTCATACCCGTAAAAAACCATATGGAGTTCAACTCCAGAGTTGATTCATGCAGGGCCGGTAATGGTGTGGAATGTCCCATATGTTTGGAGAAATGAGTTCATTAGTGTAAGTTCTGTTCTTCTGCTTTGCATATGGAAATTTCCGGAAGTGGGTGAGGTGGGTGTGTGAGGTGTGTATGAAACTGCTGATGAGGAGAATGAGGCCAGATTGTAAACTGGAGATTACCACTGGTTGTATTCCTGTGCTGAAAGTGGCCATCCTAGTTGTGTCATCTACAGGCCAAGACTCTTAATTCATCATGTAAATTACATTTCTGTATCTGTTAAAATATCTCCTCTGTTTTTAACTGAAACCTTCGCCACTTGCTTGCCCTTCAGCTTATTATGTTCACCTCTCTTTCAGAAATCTCCTCTCCTGCTACATTACAGACCTAAAATGGATTTGCTGTAGATGGACAGGTCGGTTGTTTTTGCCCCCCAAGACGGAGACAGCTTCATGAACTGAAACGATTACTGTCCTGGGGCTGCACGCAGGCCGAATGGCACACCAGCGTAGCTCAGCGCCGGGTAGCCCACCAGGATTTGCGGTCCTCAGTGTTGAGGGGTATGAAAACATCCATTTTCGTCCTCTACCTCCTAGTTATGTGAACAATGAGGAAGAATAAAGATATTTATACTTTTGTACAGAAGAGAGAAGAGCCGCCCAGACACTACTGGTATTCTGTTTACAAACGGATGAGGAGATAGCAAGGAGGTTACTGCTTTTTATACCCAAACTCCCCTTCCGTCTCCCTGCCTTTCCGGTGCATGGATGTCAACTCTGACACCAACAACGTGGGCTGGAGAACCTTTCAACAAGCCCCTTCAGGTTACACTTCTCAAGTCTTTGGAGCACAGAAAGTATATATAATTATATATAAAAATATAACAATTTCTAAACTGTCGGAGTTTTGTAACGTCTCCAGGACTTTTTTTTTTGTTTGTTTTGGTTGTTGCTTTGACCCGTTTGTGAATAGGATGAATTTGAAAAAAGTAGTAATTTATGTTCTATATTCCAATATTGTACATAAAAAAATGAGGTCAGAGAGTTTTAGGTATGTTTTCCAGAAGTGCTGTTGGAAATACGCGTGCGTTGTCAAACCGCAATGTCATTAACGAGAGGGGTGTTTGTTTTTATTTTTGTTTTTTATTTTTTGTGGAAATTTAAAGTGAAATGTATACCAGCTCATGTTTCACGTGACTTGGATAAACTATTTTTTTTTGCCTAAAAAAGCTTCCAAAACGGCTTTGTTCCTTAGCATTAACACCCAGTTCAAAGTTAACTTTTGTCTATTTGATGTGTTATTTTATTATTATTATTATTATTATTATTGTTATTGTTTTTAACCTGTGTTCTCTTGTATTGTGTTGGCCTCTGGTTCCCTTATGTCTTGAAAAGGCAAGCGTCTGTTTTTAGTATTCACATCCTGGGTTCCATTGTGTTTCCCCGTTCTCCTGGTATAAGATGCGCTGACATGCCAAGCAGCCTGTCAGAGTAATAGAGAAGTACTCTTCTCCCAGACGATGTTCTGCAT